GGGGTCACCCGGTTCTTTCCTCTGCTCCTCTCTGGGGGGGTGCGGTTCTCCCTGTTGGGAGACTCCTGGGGCTCCAGGCCTGTGGGCCGCTGTGTGTCTGTGGTTCCGGTCCTCCCTATGTTGCCATTGTGTCCTGGGGGGGCGGGTCTGTGGGCCCCCGCGTCCACCATTGGGCATTCTTTTGGAGAAATCTGGTGGTGGTGGGCGTGCTTGCGCGGGTGTTTGGATTCAGGTGCTTTGACAGATGCACGCTAGGTTGGGTAGTGGTGGAAGCTAGATGATTCCTTGTGTGATGTCGAATGTTTCATGGTGATATTGTGGGTGGCATTGTGCTGTGCATGTTGTTTTGTCGTGGTGGTCTCTCGTTTTAACCATTTCTCTTTTATTTATTTATTCTTCTTTCTTCTCTTTCTTTAAAAAAAAAAAAAAAAAAAGAGCGATGATGATAAGTTCATTGAAACACTTCACAATGTTTCTACACTTAAACTGAGCTCAAAAAAAAAAAAAAGAAGAACATTATGTTCCTAATAATTTGAAGAATTTCTAATGAGTTTGTATTGTATTGCAGAGGTTTAATAGCTTTCATTAAATTGCACCTAAAAACATAATTATCACCAACTATTTAATGAACTACAAATACAAAATAAGGAAATATATGAGAATAAAATTGTTCTTCTTACAGTCTGCTGATCTGTCGTAAACTCGAGTTAAGAATTTTGGTATACAACCCACTTGGAAAAAGCATTTCCAATGAGCACATGTTGCACTTTATATTAGCTGAAAATAATGCAAAACAATGAATTTAAGAGTGTTTTAAAACTGTAAAGTTAAATTTTAAATATTCATGACTTTATTAAAAATGTGTCATTAACATGAAAAACTCATAAATTGATAGATAGATTGACTAGATAGACACAACAAACTGGCAGCACCAAATAAAAAGGAAAAAATTAACTAAGTAGGGAAAAATATAAAATATGACACCCCCCCCCCCCCCCCTTCACAAATTGCCACCAGGGACCTGGTTTTATGGCCCGGACAATCAAAATCCCATGAGTCCACTGTTCCAAAGACCAAATGAAAGCCATACACTTTGCTTCTCCTGAATCCAAGTGTTTGACAATCGAACAGAACGTCTTTTCCAATAACCTAACGTGGATATTTTGGCCATATTCTGCAGCCCTTAAACTTTGACCATGTAATGTCAAACATAATGTAAAATAAAATCAGGACAACAATTTCCTGCTCATGAACAGTTTTTATTGTGCCAGAAAACATGTGTTAAACGTGTTAGATGGTGTCACACCTGAACACATTTTCATGGAATGTCAAATATATAAAATTATACATTCCTTTTGGTTCTTTTGAAATAAAATTTGAAAACGGCGATGTTAATAACGACAAAAATAACGAGTGCTTTTCACCAATAGTTTTCTGCTCAGCCATTCCACCTGCTGTATACAGATTTTCTATGCAGAAGGTACCATTTGTAACATCTATGCATTGCTTGCACATGGCGTCAACAATGTTTCCATGTGATAAAAATGCTAAGCCGGTGTCAATTCTTTGGTAGATTTTGAAAAAGTTGAGTAGCGCAATATTTGTGGTTCAGTCCACAGACCCTTGGGACGATGGAGGTTTTACTTGACCTCAACGCTTCTGATGCTAGCATCTCCATCAAAGCTGATGACAGAGTATTTCTCTGCTCCCAAGCGGTTTGGAAAGGAGATAGTAGAGCCATCTTCTAAAGTCACAACAAACTCTGTAGGAGTGAATTCAATGACTATCTATGGAGAGACAAGGAGAAAGAAGAAGAAAATAAAACAGACAGGGATGAGGATATTCTTAAACACCTGATAGTTGTCAAACAAACAAGAACATGAGTTTTTAATATGACTCACCAGACAACAATAAGCACACATGTCATACCTTGAATTCCTCTCCTTGGTGGAAAGGAAAGCCCTCCATGCGAACCTCCTCACACCAATTGCCTCCTTCATACGAGTTGCACACGATGGCATTCTCATCTCCATGGGCGTTAAAACGAGGGTTGAAGTGCAGAGTAATATCTTGCTCATTAGGGCCGATGTTTACCTGAAAGCTGAAGTAAAGGAACAGAGACGTATTACAATTTATTGTGATTAATTTATTCTAAAAATGCATATTTTTCTGCAAAATTTTCAAGTCATCTAGATTGATAGATTATCGGGCTTTCTGACAGTCTCTTAAAGTTTTCTTTGAACATTGGCTTCTTTTCCAGTCTCCTTTTGTTCACCATGAAAGTTCATTGTGCAGTATGTTCTTTATAAAGTGAAGAAAATGAACAAGTAGAGGGAAAAATACTTTGTCAGGCATTAAAAAAGGCATCTACAGCAAATGAAGTATCTTAAAGCAGCATCTTTAAGAACTATGATAGTAATCCAGCTGTAAAGCATGTTTTCTACTAATAACTCTGAGTCACATTGTTGGTACTAAAATCTCAATCTTTATCATCCAACACCTATCAGTATTTCGTCAGAGGCAATATATCCAGGAGAGAAACCCAGACATCCTGCTCCCTGGCGTCCCTCTCAAGCTCCATGTGGGGATCCCAAAGTGTTCCCAGCCCAAAGAAGATATGTAAGCCCTCCAGTGTTTCTGGGTCTGCTCTGGTCTTTTTTCCTAAAGGGACATGCCACGAAAACCTCCTCTGGGAGCCGAGGCACCAAAGTTCACGCTCATTAATCCAGGTTTATTTATTTATTGAGAAATTTCGTCCCTCATCCAATGGACTTCTTCAGTCCGCAGAGACAACAAACTGGTGTCCCACAAGCACTCCCATAGTGGAAAAAACTATGGGAACCTTGGGGACTATCTATGGGACTATCAGAAGAAATTGCCTGGCCACCCTAAGAAGGAAGCTCTTTTCAGCTGTTTATATCTGGGATCTTGTTCTATCAATCATAATCCATCCCATGGAGGTGCTGACCGTTTTCATGTCGCTTCTCACATACCAGCAAACTGTCCCAGTTCACACTGATGGCCATGGCCCAAAGATGCCAACAGAACCACATCATCCACATAAAGGTCAAGGCCAAGGTTTCTTTATTGTCATTCACATCATATGTGGTACATGTGGTGGAATGAAATTGTGTATGCAGGGTCACATCCAGCAAAAGTATAAATTGTAAAAGAAAAACAGTAATAAGATCTAAGACATGAACACTAAACTAAGAATATGCTAAGCACTAGTAGTACAAAAGCAATACACTGGACAACAGCAGCATGAGCACAGTAGCAATAAAGCAGAGATGAGGCCCTGACGTTCCCAAACCAGACATCCTTCCATGACTGCACGTTGAGATCCTGTCATAAACACCACAAGCAGGACTGGAAACAAGGAACAACCCTGGCAGAGTCCAATCTGCACTGCGCTCAACTGTGTGGCAAGAATGCAAATTACAATTACAAAATCAATCAACCTTTTGGACTAAGATGACCTGGAACCAAATGCACTTATGGACCACCTGTGCTCAAACATGGTGTTCGTTATGGACAGTTCATACTAACAATGAAGTCCAATAATAGACCACCTTTTGGATTCAGATCAGAGAGACCATTCCTCCCAATCACCCCTTTCCAGATAACTCCATCATAACCCACATGGGCATTAAATTCACCCAGCAGCACAACTGAATCTCCAGACAACAAATTCATTCAACCTTTATTTAGAAAGGTTAATCCCATTGAGCCTTGAGGACTCATTTACAAGAGAGACCTGATTTCAACAAAGAATGATGACAACAATAGACAAATATAAAAGAGGCATACAGATATTTTTTAATATGCAAATTAAAATAAGATGGCAAAAAATAGCAAAACAGCTAGATTACAAGGCGAATGTAGAAAACTAAAAACAAGAACATGTCTGGATTGGTCCCTGCCAGGAGTCCAACAGATTCTTAAAGTCACTTAGAGAGTTCAAGGTCGAGAGCTTCAGACCTTTTTGCAAGATATTCAAGGAAACAGGAGTGGAGCAGGAGAAGGCCCTTTTGCCATAAGTCTGCACTGAGGGAACACTGCAGGTAATAATGTCCTGAGAGTGCACGCTGTAGCTGCACTCACGCAGAGACATGAAGGAGGAGATGTATGAAGGCAGCAGACCAAGAAGTGATATAAAGATGAAAATATACCAGTATACATCTTCCAGGATACCATCCAGGGACTCCAAAAAGGCAAAGTAATCCAACTGATGTTTGATGTATGAGCACTAACTACAGTCAGAACCTTCTTTCCTGCAGCTCGAAGCTGTAAAGAGTCAACCCTATCATTCAGAGAGGAAAACTCCAACCCTGAGGCGCTCAGCCAGAGCCTTGCAAGTATCCCCACACCCACTCCACACATCTCTCCCTGAGCAACTTTCATACTACCGAGTAGGAAAGAGCCTTTCTCAGTTGGGTTACATTGCCCAAGTTGTGCATAGATGTGAACTAAACTCTATCTAGTTGGTCTTGCTCAACCTCATACATAAACTTTGGCTCCTTACCAGACAGTGAGGGGACATCCCATGTTCCTACCTAGGTTATGCTGTCCTCCTAATGGTGCTTCTGCCTATTTGTACATTTTTCCAACTTTATCTTAACTCAGTCAATTGAAAAGAAAAAAGTCTTCAGTCACACGACTTCAGCAATGTCATAGCATATCTCAGCAACATCCCACGAATGGTTGTTTGTGGTGTAAAATGAAACTCGCAAACGCACAGATTCCATCATGTGTTGTGGAAACTTACTTTGTAGCGTCAGGTTGAGCCACTCCAGCAATAGTCAGGGTTTGTCCAACACTGAAGAACATGTTCTTTAAGGTCTGTGTACAATAAGAGGAGATGCATGGTGACACAACGCAATACTGTGAGATGAGATTACAGAGGTTTTCCGTCTCTGCCAACTTTCCTACCCCCACTTTATCCTGTCCAACAGCAGAAACATGTGTTTTCAATTTTACTCCCATTGACAAAGCTGGCAAAGACTGCAGATTCAGGAGAAAGCCCTTGCAGAGCGATTGCCAAAATGGAAAAAAGATGTAAGTGCAGAAAAGTGATGAGGAACTTAAGTTCATCTGAATAATATTTTCCTGAGGTTCATAATGGTAGGGTAACTGTACAATGGAAAAAAAAAAGCTATGCACAACTTATTTAAGATTTTGAAACTGGAAAACATGTGTAAGTGCAAAAAGCAGACATTATTTATAAATGTTCAGAATTTATAGCTGAAAGAAGTATGTCATCATACAGCAGGGAAAAATATGATTCTATAGAGCAACTATGGTGACAGTAACTATCTGAAACTGAAGCATCCGCTGTTTCACAGTCTGTTTGTTTGGGAAACACTGAAAACAGGAATGTGTTCTGCTTGTACAACAAAATGTTCATTCCTTGTGGTTCAATATTTATGCATATGCTTGAGAACTATTATATTGATGAGGCTTCACAATGTTTCCACAGTCAACATTTACTTTTATTTATTCTTGTTTCCCCACTTCTTTAGGCATGAATCAGTGCACTGCCTTTAAAGCAAGATCAAAACTTTTTGTGCATTTTATAAACTGTAGTAGCTTAGAAAAATGTTAGAGCCAAAAAAAAACCTCTTTAGGATTACCTTAAAGCATTAAAAGCTTTAAACTAGTAATGCTCACAAACTGAAGTGGAATGGTCATCTGCCAAGTTTGAGATGATTTTGCTCCACTTTTTTTTCTTTTTTTTTTTTTTTAAGCAAAAGCGAGCTGATAAAGTCCAAATGTCTTGACCATTTTAGGTTAAAAATTGCTTGAAAGACTAATTTATAAACAAAATGAAAGACTGGGTGGAAGTGGAGTAACATGGTTTGACATTCTTTCTGTGTTATAGAGTCAATCTGTGAGGGATATCACTGAGGCCTGAACTGGGTGGGGCTGAGCTGTGGTCAGAGGTGACACTCACCCACGGACCTCCACTACTTATCACAGACATAGTGACCAAATGTGTTTGCCAAATATCCACGCCTTCCCTTTATGTTCAGTATGGCACTTGTAGTGGAAAAATACCTGTAATAAGGAACCTTAATGAAAAGCCTGCAATGTTCCTGGATTTATTTTGTACAGTGCAATGAGTATTCCCTTGTAAAGCTTAATCGCTGATTACACTTTTTTCTGTTTATTAAATTTTAGTTCATCTTATCTTCTTATATTTGTGATTTAAATTAGCAAATCTTGCCCAAATCTGTTTACCCCAGAGGCCAACACACATTTTAAAGCACACAAAGGCCTTCATTATAATCTGTTAAGTGTATGAACCTAAAGGGATCACAATGCTTTTCTATTTTAGATCTAACAGTGAACAAGAGACAAGATGCAGCAGGAAAGAAGTAGATATTTGTATATTTCTATTTTGCAGAAAGAATAAAATACGACTAGTCTGCATGAGAAGACTATAGTGAATGTTTTGACCATAAAAGGTAAAAGTAAAAACATCCACACCAGGATTTTTTAAATGCTGAAACAAAGGTTGTGTGCAATGACTTGCATTGTTTAATGCTTTGATCAGCAAGTATATTTACATCAGCATGCGAAAAACTGAGCCAGCACCAGCTGTCTTTGCCACATTTAAACACCAGCTAAAACAGTATCACTCAAGTACAAGGTGACAGACCCAGTGCGAGAACACAAACGTTGTGAAAATGATACTTACTGCCATAATTGTTGCAGATGAAGGTGGTCAAGTAGAGCTGAAACAAAGTGTGTGAGCTGCAGGACCTCGCCTCTGTGTCTGCACCCAGACAGATGTCTATATACAGAGCAATGTGGGCGGGTCCTTCAGAGTGAGGGACAGTCCCCTCAGCGAATACAAGAGCACCATGTCTGAGCACCAACCAGCTGATTTAAAGTGAAGTTATAGAGTATGAACATTTGAATGTGTGGTTAAAAACACCTCAGTGAAGTGATGTTAAATAGTGACAGATCACTTGTTGATGGCCGGCTGTAATTTTAAAAGTTGGCTGAGTTGAAGTTGTCTTTGTGAGGGAGCACTGCCCAGAGTCAGAGACAAAAATAGAAATGCATTTGTTGTCAGGGCGACAACTGTTTACAACAGCCAGCAGGCCCTAATGTCCACTTACTGCATATATCAGCTTGTAATTTACTAGCGTTCGAGTTATTTCTGAGAAAGTAAAACTTCCTGAAAGAAGAAGAGCTAAAAGGGAAACTGTGACTCACAGGCTGCCGTAGGCCACACATTCTTCATCTGACACAGCTGACGCAGTGTGACTCAAACATGGCAACAACTGCACTCTTCAACTATAAACTGTCTTAAACTAATCCGACTTACGTGCAACTCTGCTATTTTCTTGTGATGAGATGATTTAAGAGTCTATCTGTCAGAATTGTATTAGTGATTTTATCATTTTTGCCCATGTGCAAGTATTTTGTTAGCTGAATTTCTTTTTTTTTTTTTCCCAGTGGACGTATGAAAACGTATATTTTACATTGTTTTAGATATTTGGTTGAGTTTAGGGGAACTGAACGGCCTAGCATTCATTAAAGAAATGCATCATCTGCCACCTTTCATGCCAAAGTTGTAGACTAAGACCATCTTATTTGAGACATGATAAAGTTATAAACTCAGACTTAGACCATTTTTGTTTTGAGTAATGTTGATTAGTTATGGTAGCCATCTGGAATTATGTTGACTCCAACAGTTTCGTTAAAAATCTTCCAGTGGTTCATGATATATTTTGCTAACAGACAGAGCGTTGATACCAACAGTTAATGCCAAAGTTTTAGGTAACATGATAATGTAAAATTTAGTGCTCATAATATTGATTGGGGATAATTCTCAGACACTACAACAGATTTTAGCTCAGTGTCTGTAGAACTGAGTGTTATAGCCATGTTTGTGTATTGAATGCTTGGTTTACTCATTAATTGCATTTATATTAAAAATAAATCAGTTGTAGATTTGCACTCCAAGCAGGACTGACTCAGTTAATAGTGTCAAACAAAGATCTCACATGATCTGTTGAGTTGGGGATGATGCTCAGCTACTACCACTCCGAACTGTAGCTCATTATTTGTATAATTTGAGTCTGAAGGCTCTTTCATAAAAAAAAGTTTAGTGAAATGGTCAAACAGACCAGTTTGTCCTTATCTAATGGAGTCAGCCACGTCCCACACAAATGTGAGTTTCAGAAATGGAGCGTGCACATGACCAAAAGAGGCATGAAGCAGAACTCAGCTGTATTGATGTGGAGCACAACGCATTAATTACGTATCAAACCTTCCCCTTGTTTGTATTTAAAACATGAAAAATTAACTCATTCCCCTTTGTGGTTAACTATTTTCTCATACTAAACACAAAGTTGCTGTGCGACATCATCGAGCTTCCCCTGGCGACAAATCTGTTTGTTGTTAAATCCTGTGACCAAGTGGCTGCACAGACAAGTCGTTACTTCATCCCGTTGTTGAGCCACACAACCAGCTTACTATTTCATATCTTGATCTTTTTGGCTCTGGTGCGACCTTGTTTCTCAATACAAAGTTGCATCCGGGGTTTTAACCCCCACTGCCACCTCGGTGCATGCAGAAATCTCACCGAAGAGGCCAGAAGGTGTTCAACTCCCAGAGGAGGTGTCTTGTGAAAGAAAAGACATTTTTTATTTGTTTGATAGTTCGGATGAGCTGTTACAGCCATCTTGAGTTGTGTGGA